TTTTTCGGTAAATACTCGCTTTGTGAGAAAATGACAAATGCAAATTTTTTGAAATGCAAATTTCCGGTTTACTAAAAAGTAAAAGTGCCCGAGCGGTGCACGAGAGTGCCCCCCAGCTTTCCTGATTGCCGAGTTGAAAGTGGGTGACAAAATGCAATCGCTTTTCGAACACACACACACAAACAGCCTCTCGACAATATGCGTTTTTGCTGGCTGTAGCAGCGCTGTAGCGCTGCTACAGCAAAAACGCATAAAAATGAACGAAATTCTTCAAAATGATGTTTTCGATCTTTTCAAATGCTAATTCAGGGGTTTCTCGAACCTTGCACAGGTTCTACTAAAAGTCAAGCCGCGTAAGTAGCGTGCGTGACGTGGTACCACACAGGGTGCTTGTCGTCCAGGTATACCGGACAACGGGAGTTGTTAGTCTCGCTCACTTACTACTTGTGTAAGTGTTGCCGCTGACTCCGAGTGAGTCGCTGTTTTGGTCGGGGGTTAGATTTTCGTTTCCGATCTCTAGCTGTAGGGTGCTGGGCTGAGACTTATCTCGATCTTTTATGGCCAAAAAATGGTAGAAAAAAGTGAGAACTTGCATTTCGCATAATCTTGTGCCAATTTAAAAATTGACAAACAAGCTGTTTTGTCGAATAATTTTAAAAATATCTGCAAGGTGCACTATATCATCTGGTGCTACTGACTGAGCTGATATTTCCGTGTGTTGTTTATTTGTAAATGCCGCTGAAAAACTTATTTTCTCAACAGTTTCCTGGCTACATTTCGCCAGTGTTCAACGCTGCCAATTTTCTTGTCTTTCATTTGAGCAGTAGTACCACAGCTCATGCGCACAATGCATTACTCTTCGAATGATATGTCTGTCATTCTTCCGCACGTCATGGTGCTGTGGTAAACAGATCTGTGGGCTTTTCATCACATTCTCGCATTGCCAATTCACTCCGTTTTTTAACTGGCCTTCATTTTCTCGCTTGGAACTTCCTCGTAATTCAGTCGCTGAATGCATTCCGCTCCCCGTACCAGTATGTTCTTTTGTGATTACCAAAACTCGCTGCTACCGCTCCTGAATGTTTTTCCTCAGTGATTTTCAGGAGGCCCCATGACTTCCGTGCTTCAATTCTAGTTTTTGTTTGCTTCACTGCGCCACGGCTGTTGTCTGAGGGTGATGCGGCATGCAATTCCTTCGCCCTCCGCTGCACGGATGCATGCTCGGAGCGAGTTCCTTCGAAGTTCCAGCTTTATTTATTTAGTGCACCGCAGTTACAGTTGTTCATGCAGTGCCTGCACAGGAGAGCCATCGTTTGTTTGCATCAGTGCCTGTTGCTGCGCCGAACCTGCCTCAAACAGACACCACTTTTATTGTAGAAGCAGCAGCAGCGGCAGCGGCGAGATCCTGGCTACGGACACTCCGATGCTCGGGAATGGCTGCTGCTGCTGCTTCCCTGCTCGTAATGACTCACTGTAACTTACACCTCGCCCCGCAGCGACACGCCATTACATTTCCGATCCTCACTCATCGTCCTCCCAAAATGCCGCTCCTCCGCATTCATTTCAATTTTTATTTAATCATTTTGCTGGTCAACTGTTTGCATGTATAATTTTCTCTCTGTAAATTTGTTTTTGTATGTATGCGCATGTGTACGTGGATGTGTGCTTAAGTATTTGCGTATTTCTGTATGTGTGGAAGCATCCGCGTGTATATGTATTTACTGTTTATGCGTACGTGTGTGTATATGTTTACGTGTGCGTGTGTCTGCATGCTTATGTGTGTGTGTGTGTGTGTCTGTATTCTGGTTGTTTAGAAGCTTCGGCGAATGCTGCCATGGATTGAGCACGATGAGCGTGTGGGATGAATTCATTGAAATCGGATTACAATAATTCATCATTTGCATTGCGTGGTGTGTGCCGTCGACTGTAATTACTTGCAATACTAGTGCTGTGCGTGGGATCGCTGTCGCTAGTGAGGAAAAACTGGTTTCACCCCTCCTCCCTCGGCAGCCTCCCCATACTGGGCTTTTGAGGGATCTCTCGTTATCGATAACGTATTTAGTCGCTGTGCATTTTGGATGCTTTATAGCTGTAGTCAAATGCACTGGACCTGGGCTGCACCGGCAGCGAGCGCACGCTGTAGTAGTGATGGTAGCAGCAGTAGTAGTAGTAAATTTAATTTCTATATACTTTTTGCATTACTAATAAATGATAATGAAAAGCAAATTGTAGAGGCTGTCTGTGTCTGTTTTCGGACTGTCCTTCCTTTCCCCGTACATACATACATACATACACACACACACACATAAACTTGACTCAACAACTGGAAAAGTTAGGAAGCCTTAATTTTACGAGCATCTTGCCGGTCCACATCCACAAACGTAAAACCAACTCTCATGTGCAATGCCTGAAACCAAAACTGAAAAAGTGTTGGTGGAAAACGATTTCGGGAAGCATACAAGATATGAGGCTAAGATTATGGGCGAAATTTGCCCGTGTGCGCTCCTAAAAGCGTAAGTTAGCCTCTACGCCACGCGCCCACGTATCTTTTGCGGATACGTCAAAATCCCACTGATAAAAACGAGATATCCGTTTCTTTCGGTAAGCAGATCTGCCAAAAAAATTGTATTTTCAAGAGGCTTTACAACGCAACATCACAGGCTCAGTCGATGACTCTTTACTATAAACATGAAGGAAAAAACCAGTCAGAACATTTCCAACATGAGTGCATATGTCAGTCTTTGAGGCAGTAAATGTTTCTGTTAACGATCTTGCTGCTGCACGAAACGATGCAAAAACACCTGATCGCACCGGTAGCCCTAATGCGAGCAGCTATTTATCATCATTGCCAAGTAGAAAATTGAGATGCATGCTACTTTTTGACATACTAGTAGTTTTGGAAGATTGCCTTTGAGCTGTGCTTTTTCGCAAGTGCTGCATTGAAATGAGCAGTTTTAGCGACACCAGTTTTATTGTCCAACTGGAAAGGCCTAGTTGCGCTTGAAATGCATAATGCGCTGTTATCTACGAACAACTGCTGCGATAATGCATTCCAAGCGGTACGATCGAATCATATTCAGTGTCTAACGGTAATGAATCGACTTAATCTGGAAGAACGCGACATCAACCAGCAAACTCCACTTCATGTGGCGGCCAAGCTTGGCCGTCTACAAGCAATCGAGTATGTTATATTGTTAGTTGGTAACGTGTCCTGTAAATGATTTGCACAAATTTTTGTAAATTAATAGAAATTATATGAAAATTATCAATAAAGCATCTAGGCTAAAAACTGGTGGATTGAAATTCTTGGCTAGCTACTTGCGGATTTTGTAAGCTGTACACGAGACCAGTGGACTAAACCAGATTGATCTTCGCACTTGCTGGTTTATATGACAAAGAAAGTGGTTTCCGGAGAAGAGGGTTATCATAAAATACTTTTTTCGAGTGCGGTGTGCCAGAAATGCTTGGAAACCTGCAATCTGCGCTTTTATTTATTATGTGTGTTTCTTTATACTTGTTTTGGCAAAATGCTTTGCGGCACCATCATGTCTTTTGTATGTACCACTCTCCGAATAATCTAACTCTGGGACACAGTATTGTGATCAGTTGCAAGTTTCAAACATGAAAACAATTTTCAGTTCTCATCTATGCAGACCCGTTGCTTCAAATCAAAATTCAAGTCATTTCTAACCTAAATTTTGATTTGAGACACTTCTGGCCTCAACTAAAATTCAGGATGAATATTTCGATAAACTCGAAAAGATGGTAGTTTAACTACTTACCACTCTGTGCTAGTTAAAATAGCCAAAACTCAATCATTATTTTTCAACATATCTCAGACAGAAAGTGCGAGTCCAAGCAAAACAGTGCAGATTAGATGCTCAAAATTTTAACTTTTCCTTTAAGCTGTACAGTACAGCACAAATTACCGAGATTCGCTTTCAGAAGCCACAGTTTCCTCACCTAAGAGCATAAATACAAACACAACCTGAAACGAACGCCAGAACCAGTGAAGCCATAAATCCGAATTTCTGTGCATTGAACAGATGGAAGCTTCTGCTAAGTAGTTGCATTTATCCAGCTTTTCGTAAAAAAATTATTCATAGAGACTTTTTTAATCCATGACACTATTCAAAAATCAAATTTTTCATGGTGCAATCTGAGATGCACGAATAGTCCTGGAAATCTAGGACATTTTTGCTGTTGATTTTACTATGTGTTTGATTTAGTTTACTGCAACACGAAGCACCAAGAACACAGGACGCGGTATCGATGTTTGGAGAGAATCCTGCTTTGGTTGCTGCAGGTGAAGGTCAAACGCAGAGCGTTGAATTGCTGTTAAAAAACAGCACTTCAAAACATGCAGTTGTTCGGGCTCAGCAACGCGATGTCAACGGTACTACGGTGTTAATGGCTGCTGTTGCGAGGGGGGACAATGATTTAGCACTGTGGCTACTGAGACGCTTCGGAAAGACGTTGGCAATGCTTCCAAACAATTTCCATATGCTACCAGTGCATGTTGCCGCTGCGCTTGGTACGTTCCGATTCATTGCGGCAGCAGCACCGAGTCGCGCGTCTTTTTTTTCAGTGCAAAATTAGATGCAACACATTTTTTGCATCGTTCCCAGAGAGCACAAAACACGGGACAAAGTACTTACTTTTATAATTGAGCAGCTGTATTTCATAGACGTTCGTTGTCGCGCCATCGATGCAGCTGACAACTCGCTGTTGCGGTCTCCGAGAACATGTAGTACTGTACAGGCGTACCATTGGGCCTCTCTACCTCGCTGGTGGCCTCCCCAGTGTTCGCTTGTCCATGCGTGGGTACATTCCATTATCCGCATCAGTGTGTGTTGAGCATCACCACCTCACCTCCTAACGTTGCCGTTTTCAGACTAGGGTGAGGTACCCTGTCGCCAGGGAGACGGGACAAAATAACACGAATAAATGGTGACATATTACGCAAAATTGTGCGTTTTCACACTGCGGACTTGCAGTAATTGTTCTGCTTTTTGTCTTAGTGCAAAAAAAGAAGTGCAGATTGTTTGGGATTGTCAATATTCGTGAATAATTCTTCTGCACAGTATTTGTTAAACAAGCAGTATTTTCAGGTAATAATGAATTTATTCGTGCTGCAATCAAGTACGACCATCGCATGGTTAATTACAGGGATCAGTTTGGTAATTTTTTTCATGCCACCTGTCCGTATTTCAGTAAACGAGCTTTTCAGCACTGTATCACTCAAATCGAAAGCGTATCTTCGGGAGCAAAAGGGTGGCACGGCAGGGTGAAACAAGCCACTGGTGCCAAATTTAAGTGGTCCCTGAACCTTCTAAAGAATGAATATTAAAGATCCGTGTTGGCTCAAAAGAAATTCTGCCAGTCCGGACCAACTGAAAAAGCTGAAAATTTAAGAGAGTGTTTCTTGTTTATGTTTGATTCAACTTCCAAGTGCAAAACTGTCGGCAACATCCTCTCCCGATAATTATAGTTGTTAGAAAGTTGAAATTTCGTGAGTCCTCACAGTGCAACATTACCATCTTATTTGGTGCTCTTCTTTTAAGAAATGCAAGAAAAGGCCAACAATAAGATATAAATGCTTATGTTAAAATGTAAAACAAAGATCTGATTGCTTCTTGAAGCCGCGCAAAAACGTACTAGCGGCGCGTTGCATTGATCAAAGCATGCCGGTTTAATTAGCAATTTTTACGCTGAAACAGCCCTTCTAATTTTGCGGCAGAAATCTGGGAACTGACTGAAACTTGAGGAACGCGCAAATGATACTGAAAAATGCTCTAGTGAATGCAGTGAGGAGATGCGTGGTCAGCGTCGGTGTTCTTGCTGTGTTTGAAATAAGTGAAGTTGGAGAGAATATTACGTGCTAGCTGTTTGATTTTAGCCTAGAATGAGGAAATTGCAGGATGTACACCAGTGTTTTATGCAGTTCAAGGGGGGTGCTTGGCATGCGCGAGATATCTGATTGAGAAAGCTGGCGCTGACATATGTATTGTTTCGGATAAGGGGCAGTCGTTGCTCCACGTTGCTTGTCTTGCCGGCCATGCTCACATTGTTCGTTGGATAATACAGCGTTCTGCTCCGAATTCTGTGCTCTGGACAACCAAGGACAACGCTAATGCTATACACTGCGCATCCTGTGAGTTTGGATTTGCTACTGTCCGAAAATGAAAATTTGTACCACCAACGATAGCTCTTCCCGACAGACACTTGCGGATATTCAGAATTTATTATTTTGATGCATTTTTATGCGTTCTACTTTTGTACAATGTAAAAGATCATACTGTAGTGGGGGATGCAGTGTATATACGTGCGCATTTGCGTGTGGCCAAATCTGTCTGCATATTTCCGACCTGCAGTTCTGCGGAAGTTATGAAGCTGAAATTTTGATAACTTATTCTACCGCTACGGATAGATTCCCAGGCTCAAAATTTACATTTATATATTCCTGGTTATCAATGTTGGCGGGAAAATGACCGCGAGAACTTGGCAAGCTAGATTTTTGGAAATTTACAAGGGTGTTTTCCCTGTCTATGTAAAATCCAAGAAATTTAAATTCATTTTTTTTTTTTATGATCCTTCGTACGTGCATGCCAAAAAACCAAACTGAGATATTTTGGCATCAGGTCAACTCGAAAACCAAACTGAGTAAAAGGCTGTGATTTTACGAGGACGCATGCTGTCCGCTTTTGGGCCAGTAAACATGAGATGAGCTTTTACGTCCCACATACTTCTCACGTACGGACACGTAAGATTTGATGTTGACAACTCCGCAACAAATGCAGCTGAAGTATCCCTGGTCTGGTTTTCGACTCTCTGCAGCAGTTGCGCAATTTTATCAACCGTGCAGTTACAGTTTCTCTTGCATTTTTACCAACTCTTCCTGAACTGCCTTCTTACCAACTGGCTGAGCTGTCTTCTCTCTTGGTTATTCTTTAGCGTCTTTCTGGAAAAACCGCAAAGCAGGAGATATTCATACTTTAGTATGAAATTCCGTCTGTCCTTGTGTCTTGCTTTCTGCGTATGTCTTTTGTAACTGTCCCACAAATCCATTCACAGCGGGTCGGTTTCTTTCGCGCGTCGAAAAAGTTTCATCAAAACTAGTGATTTTGATCAATATTTGTCATTACTATTAAGCCATTTTTCGGCGATGTGCTGCTTCATTGCATAAAATCGCTGCATTAACTGGCCACGCGCACTTCTGATATTCTTGACAGCAGGTGCAATAAAAATATGTCCAGCTCTTCTCCTCCTTCACCCTCCGTCAAACAATCCTTTCTTCCTTTCAGTTGTTTTGTCTAATAAAATTTAGAACACTGCGCGTATTGGGCGTTCCCCGCCTCCACATAACGCAGACATGCGAAAATGCTCGTATGACGCCAGCCGGCTTGCGCATCCTCTTGTTAATCGTAGTTTTGCAAAAATAGTCCATTTCAGACAGTGGTAGCGTTGCTGCACTGGGTGTTTTACTGCGCATCATACCTCAGAAACGTCGTCGACAAGTACTTACCCTTCGAGATTCTCGTGGCAATTCTCCACTTCATCTCGCAGCCATCAGTAACCACACCGATGCGGTGCAGTTTTTGGTTCGTTTACATCGTATTGTTACCTCATTATTTTCAACTGCTAATGGCGTAAGAAGTGATGAGAGCTAAAATCACTAGCGAAGCCCTCAAAACTCCATTTAACCAACGCAGGCTTAAATTACAGCTCGAAAATGGTGCCGAGCCACGGCTGTTGAATAATGCGGGTGAAACAGCTGAAACGATCGCTCGTGTGCAAAAAAATTTTCAACTTGAAAAGCTTTTATTGTATTGGAAAGGTAATCCGGTTTCAATCAGTCATGTTTTCCGGCAAGAAACTTCTGAGGAAAGGAAGAAATCTGACTTTTTTTCAGCCCGAAGAAAAGGAAAAGAGGGAACTTTCAAGCAGTGGCAGTAAGGGCAAAACACTTGAGGTCAGATTAGGAGGTGGACAGCAGAATTAAGCGTTTAGCCTCATGGTATCTGGTACACATTAGGCCTTTTTATAAAAGTCACTATTGTAATAGGCATTAACATCCCACCGTTATGTATCAAATTTGGCAGTAAATAAAAGTTAATGAACTATCTAAATGATTTAGAGCGAAAACAGAAGCGGACGAAGGAGTTACAGTCAGTGAGGACAGCAAAGCCTTTGGCACTTGTCGATAATGCTTATTCGTCTGGGTACTGGAGTATTACAAGCCGCACGTTACCGGATGGTTCAAGTCAAATAGTGCCAATTATTCCTGCCACTACCGGATCACTGCAGCAACAGGGTGTTCCGGACCATTCGTCGCAAGGCAACTTTACGGTAAACACACGCACGTAAGTTTTTTTCGGGGGTTTTAGACGGGTTTTTTCGTGCATTTGTGCTCCCAGTAAGATGAAAAAAAAAAATGTCATCTCACTTATCCTGCTTCTTTTATGTTACAGGAACGGCGAAATGAAATCATATGAGCTGCGTCCTATAACCTATTTTGCATCCGACGAAGGTGGCCGAATTTACGAAGATCATTCGGTTCAAACCGATCGCGATTCTCTACACAACGCAGTAAAGGTGATTACATACGTACATTAGCATCTTTCGCTTCTCCATTTTCATTATTTTTTCTTGATGGTTGTGTCAATATATCCGTCGAAGCTAACTTACACTTCATTTAAATACAGCAAAAGTTCGCCAGTCCTATTTATATTCTTTCCTTATCATTCGTGTATGAGCAGATTTTATAACACCAACCATTACTTCGTATTAGCCGCATGGAATTAAACCCTCCCTTTCGAATCTGTTTTCTTGTTTTTATGAATCAGAATTGATGAGCTTTATATGAATGATAGGGGTATTTTTATTTCTCAGTTCCCTTTGCTCGTGTGTTTACCTCTTTCTGTTCTTCATACTCCTTTTTTTCATCCTTCAATTGTCTTGTCTGTTTGCTAAGTCCACCTTCATATCTTTAACCGCTAACACTTCACTATTTTCTTGATTTATAATAATATCACAGCCATCTTGCACGCAAAATCCACTTGTTGCACTGAGTATGAATGTATGCGATTTTGTAAACCGAGATATCCCGTTTCAGCTATAATTTTTGTTTATCTCTCGTCTGTATGAGACATCATCCTCATTTTTATGTTACTTATTTTTTCTAATTTTTTTTTCTACCATTTTTCTCTTAATATTATTTTAAATATCAAATCTTAATAAATGCTTCTTTCATGCATCAGTCGTAGCGGAATCCATGAATTCATCCAGAAACAACGTCTCTTGGATCGCTGTTCATTTGCTGGTGATTTGCTTCAATTTTGTGTATAACATGGTTTTCAGATTCTGGATGCGGATGAGTGGCATGAGAGTTTGGCTGCAGTGGCGCAGATTGACAGAGTTCTACAAGAAGTCAACAGTTAAATCATTTACAGTGAGGAGATACTTTTCACCACTCTACTTAATACAAACCTTTGGTCGTTTTGCTTAATTCTCACAGTATTTCTCGTAAGTGTGAATTTGTACTAGATTCTGCGTAGCGATTTACGAAAACCAAACTATGGGTGAAAAAAAAAAAGAAAAAACAAACTCTAATTTTTCTTTCACAATGAACTGTCAATTTTCTAGATTGCTGTTTGTGTTCGTCTGTTCTTTTTATTCTTTCGGTTCTTATCTGCTGCTCATTTATTTCCCCGGGCTATGCATCGTTTCAGTAAACAGCACTTTTCTTTCCGTCTGCTGTGCGAAGTGATTCCGCCACGTTATAACAGTGTACTAAATCTGCAATAATATTTGCCGTGGAATGTGTCCATCTTATGCTCGCCATCTCAAACTGCCATACTACCAATGCAATGTATGCCTTCTTGTACGCTGTATGCTGAAAATGTCCTACACTGTTCTTTTTTGAGGTACCAATTGATGAGGTTACATACAATTTGAAGTGAGCGAAGGCAGACTTTATTGCTTCTGTAAATCTGCAACGAAATAATGACATCAGAACATTCCGATGCAGCTTATCTCTTCATCCCCACCATTTCAACCTCTTTTTGACGTTAAGATCACTCCATAACTTGCACATTAGGTTACAGGATAAGTTGCGCAAAAATACGTGATTGAGCTCATCGTCTTAGCTTTCTAGGATCAGAACCACCAGCCTAAGTGGTCCCATGTACATGTTCAAGGACTTTTTTGCACACAGCACGCTCCTGTCTGTCGACTTTTCGACAGAACTTCTCCACAATGTGGCTCTGAATTTGAGCTACTTACAACTGGCGAAGAATTTGCTGAGCTGAAATCGTGTCCCATTTTACGTATCAGAAAAGGATGCAAGACACAGGCCGTTTTGAAGGCATGATCGGGAAAAAAAAAACGCTGCAAACTGACAAGTTGGACCAAAAGAATTAAATTGTGAAACGTTCTTTTTATAGGTATATGTAAATCAGTAAAACGCCTGTTCGGCCACGATTTATGATGCCTGGCGGAGTTTTAAATTTATTAACTTTTATTGGCTAAATACAACTGAAAGCAGCCTATGACCGAAAACTAGTGGTCAGAGAACGGACATACAGAAAAAAAATTTCCCCTTTGCAAAATTGTAATCCACTCAGAATTGGGACAAAGATTTGAACTTACGCAACCCAAGCGGAGTAAGAAAAATTTCCTAAACTGTTAATTTCACAACACCGTGTGCAGGAGATACTGTGTGGCGTCACGTTACGTCGGGTGATGTACGTAACGTACTTCTCTGGGTAACTTGCGCAAGGTTAAATAATTTTGAAAGCCCAAGTTTCAGGAAAGTTGCAAGCCTAAATTTTGGCTCAATTTCAGTTTTTTTTTTCTGGACTTTCAAGAAAATACAGAACGGACGAAAAAGTCATGAAATTTAGCGTTGTGGTTTAGATGAGGAGAAGCCGCGGTTATATGGATTCAGAGTGACTGAAGCGTTGCTAAACTGATACGTCGCGAATGTTGGATGGGCCTTGACATCTCACGTCGCTTGACCTGTTTATGCATTTGGGTTACTTACGGCGGGTGAAGAAATTTCTTGAGCTGAAATTTTCTTTCATACTAGTGGCCCTCTCCTTCTGTAAAGATATTGCAGAGAATATCATGCAAAATTTAATCAATAAAAGTGTGAAATATTACTGACTTGCTTGCAATAAAATAAATATCACGTGGATTAATAATTCCCTTAATCCGCTTACTCAATGGCGGCCAGTACATTTTAGTGGTAGATAGTTTTACGCTGATGCTAAAGGTTAGGTTTCAACTCCACCAGTCGGTATTTGCCAAAAATTGCCCTTCCTCAAATGCTTCCGCTTTCCACAGATCCACTTTTGATTTTTGACTTTTTAATCCTGCTCAGTGTTTCCCTGTCTTGCCTTCATACCGCCATCGTCCTCTCCTTCTTTTCCAGCCCTGAGTACTGTAGTATTTACTCCCCTTAAGTTGAGTAGCGATACAGTAATTTTTTCGCGTCCAGTTCGCAAGTAAAGGGTTCCCCGTTTAATTGGTTGTTCAGCTGAGAGTAATAGAAGCTGACTGTTCGGACTGTTTTTAGAATGATCGGTACAGCATGACCGTGGTGCCGAAAATAAGCACTGTTTAACGAACAGACTAGTCGGCTGGTGTGTACTAACTTTGAACTTTAGCCACGTGCTGTTTCATATCTCTCATTTGGCACGTGTGACTGCGCGGATGTTCAGAAACTTTTTTTTTATTTTTCAGAAACAGTGAAATGGTATAAGAGGCAAGCAGAACAGCTATCTATGAGTCATCTTCGTCTGGCAAGTCTTTCAGTGCTGTGACATCTTCCTGAATGCCCATCTTATTTTCGAGTAACGCCACATCAGCTTCCATTTCTGTCTGCTCTGCAACTAACAAACCACAGTAGCTTTCCATCAGTGTAAATTTTTGTAATAATCTCTCGTATAACTTTTAAAATTTTACCCACTATCGTCTTAAGTTCCGAATGACTGACTGTTATACCTTTAAGCTTTGACAGCGCTGATGCGCTATCTGGCACTTCAGCTGAATCCTACTTGGCAATGAACTCACGTTTCCAAAGTTCGATTTCCCGATTCTGCCTCCGTATTTTTGTTTTTAAGCTTGCATTCTCATCACGCAACGACTGCAGCTCAGCTAGTGCCGTGCGATACTGATGTTCCCACGTATCACCATAAGTGCCTTTCGACTTATTGATGCTTTCCAAATGTGAAATCTAAAACAGTCCATTCATATTCCGGATGGAAAAACTTTGGTAACGCTGAGATTTCCCAGGTTCAATCTTCATCGTTCTGCAACTGATTAATTTTTTCCACACTGTGACTTTCAGCTGATGCTTCAAGCAAAGGCTGTTCTCACCGACAGCCACTGCCAAAATTTCAGTTCTTGCAAAAACTCATATTCACTCCGAAAACGGATTTTGAATTATTATGATTCTAGGACTGCAGTGAACTAAAATACGCCAGCAGTACTTCAAGTGACAAACAATCATTTTTATGCGTTTTTGCTGTGCAGCGCTATAGCGCTGCTACAGCCGGCAAAAACGCATATTGTCGAGAGGCTGTCTGTGTGTGTGTGTTCGGAAGGCGAGTGCATTTTGTCACCAACTTTCATCTCAGTGACCAGGAAAGCTGGGAGGCTGAAACTTTGGATATATGTTCCTACCCCGTGTGTCATCCTCCAATTTTGGGATCTTTCCCCATACGAGCCTAGACCCCGCGTACGAGACCCCGAAATAAATATGTTGGCGGGAAACGATTTCGCGAACCAGGCAACGTGGAAAGCTGAAACCC